TGCGGCCCTTGGACTTCCGCTTCGGATTCATGCTCAGAAGATGAGTCGGGCTGGTGACTCATATTGTCAAAAGAGGTGGAGCTGCAACAAGCTATAGGTTGACAGCAATTGAGCCTGGAAAACCTTCCACATGAAAGCCTTTCTCCAACTATATGACTATGACAGCACAGTCGCCTGCCACTTAAATGCGCTCAGTCATGAGGTTGTCACCTTTTTGCAATGCAGCGTGTGAAGTGTTCAAGGAAACACTTCCGGCGCATAGAGCTGGACAGCGTGTGAAGTGTTCAAGGAAACACTTGCGGCGCATAACCCTGTCGATGACGAACCGGCTACAGCTCGCTCAGGAATTTCAATGCATCTCGATGCGCTGATTGCGCCAAACTGCGGCTGCACAAAGAGTCTACCTTGTGGTAGACTCGAGACGCGAAGCACTTAGCATCCATTTTGAGGCCCTTCTTCTGGTCCTGCAAGTAGTAACTGCGCAAGGGTGACTGTTGCTGCCCAAGCGCCTGCCACCATGTCTTCTCCCCACTGACTTGCTTGCGGTTCTTGCTCGTCTTGACCTTCTCCTGGCTTGTTGCAGTTTGAGCGTTGCTCCCTGAACAAGAGGGTTGCCCACATCTCATGGCGGCATTCGCTGCCTTGGCGGCCTTCGCATCTGCCAAATCCAAGAAGCCACCAGTACTGTCCAGGAACAAACTAAAGAAGTCGACCTTCATGAACAAATTTGGTGAGGACTCCATGTCCTGCATGGGTTCCTTCGTATGTTCCGGAGAAGCATCAGCAGGAGCATCAGCACACGGCCTCTTCATAGGAGCCTGTGAAGCATCAGCATCAGCGCGCAGCCTCTTCGTAGGTGCCTTAGCATAGAGGTCAGCCAGAGGATCAAGTGTCACAATCTATAGAGTCAAAGCAAAGCGCAAAAATGAAGAGTCTGATTTTTTCTGAAAGAATCTCTGAACTCTCATAAACTCTCTGAAACTCTCTCATCTCAAAAACTCTCTGAAATATGAAAATCAAAACTCGATTTTAGAAGGACTCGACGCCCTGAACAAATTCCATGCAGAAACTCTTCCCTAAACAAATCAATGGTAAAAAACTCAGCTCCGCACCGGGCTGGGGCTTAATTCGGCGCCCTCACTGGAACCTAGAAAACGATTGTCGATACAGCGGCAAAGCTTGACGAAGGCCTCCCTTTGTCGCACAGTCAACTTGCGCTCGAGCTGTTCCCAGGAGGTAGGGCAAGTAGCAATTCCCCGAATCTTGCTGCCCATTTGTCGAAGCTTCTGACAAACAAAGGGACACATCATTGAGAAAGAACCGCTTGCGCCACACTGGAAGTTCTTCTGCTCGTGCATAGCTCGCATTGCCTCAGTGTTGTCAGGCTAACCTTTGCTTTCAACATGCGTGTGTTGGGCAAAGCTTAAGCTCCAGGTATTGATAGCTAAGCGGCTGTCATCAACTTGGAGTCTGGGATGAGGCCGTTGTTGCAAATTTCCAAGATGTGCACCAGAATTGGTTCGAGTGTAACGAATGCAGGCACATGTTTGGAAGGTGCAGTCTTCCAACTCATGCCTTCCAAGTCGGTGATCAGAACCGACAAGCTTCGATGTCCAACCTGCCCAGCGTGCTTTGGCTCTGAACTGATGTAGCTATGGACAATAGTAGTGTAAACGTTTGATTGTGGGCCTGGCTGAAACCAAGCTCCAGAGACTTCTGGAGAGCAGCCACAGTGACATGGGGCAAAACTTTGGTTCTTTCTTGAGTAATGGGAAGTTCCATGCTGTACAACTATTAGACTTGAGCCCAAAACTTTTGCCTGAACAAAAGATTTTCCATCATGAGCAATGATAATCAAAAGACATGAGCCTTGGAAGTCCAACAAGACAGCCTGACCAAGGACATTTGTTCTCAAAGCGACTGGTCATTTGAGCCTCCAGGTTCGACTAGCAAAAGCAACCTCGTATGTGAAAGCAAGGATGTACCTCGACATAAAATGTCTTAATGCGCTCAAGGCTGTGCGCCCATTCAGGCAGGCATGGAGTAAGGTCTTCATGACCGACATAAAGTCTTTGCCGGAGTAGCGCTGCAAAAGATATGGGTTAATGAAGCGTGAAAGGGCCACAGAGTGATGTAACCAATGACCCTTCATGGTTCCAACCTGGAACAAACGCAATCCCTTGTCACTGTACCATTTGTGTAAGGCAATGTTGAGCAAGGTGTAGTTCTTGGCGCATTGGGTGAGTTCAGCAAATGCTGAAGGGTTCAGCTTGAAGTCTTCTTTGCACTGATCGATGATCTCGTCCATGCGCAATGAATTGGACAAGGCCAATTTAACCCATTCATGGGCTTGACAACCCGCATCCATTGCATTGGTCCAGACCTCCAGGAATGCGACCAAACATTGTTTGGTCTCATACGCTTTGGCTTTCAACTTGGGGTACTTCTTGGTTGCGTTCTTGTCTGTCATCAGCATTTTGACAGTCAAGTTCGTGAGGCAACCCTGCATTTTTTCTGTTTGACCAAACCTCTTTCAGCTGCTTCAGCAAACTCCCACAGCGCTCTTCCAATGATCCCTCAGTGAAGAGATGCTGCAGGATGACCCATCCAACACTTCCAATCAGCCTCTGGTCAATTCCCAGGTGCTTGGTATGGAGCCAATCGGGGCTGATGCTGCTGGGGCTCAAAATTTCTTGAAATAGTGGGCAAGCATGGTTCCGCGGAAGGTTCCAAGGGTCTTCTGGCGGGAGGGGGATGTTGCGATAATCCGCCAGATTGCTACTGGAGATGGAGCACAGTGAGCAAGGCTTAGCTGATGTCCAATGAGGACAACGGTGCCAAGACGAGAAGTATTCCAAGTCACCTGTAGAAAAGCAAGGTACAGCTATAAATCCTCCGGTCGACTGCCCTTCTGATTGTAAAATGCGCTTGAAACTGTTCGCAATGATGGACCAAATCTTTGCGTCTGTGTTGAAGCCATTGACATCCTTGGCTGCGTGATGCGTCCACGCTGCTGCGATCAATATGTGTTTATTCTTTGACTTGCCTGAAGATGCCATGAGGCTCCGGTATGAAATGAAAAGGCATGATTTGGAACCGGAACCTATCTGTTGTGTGACACTAGCACCATCGCCATGTAGTGCCAAGGGTATGCAGCGCTTCGACCATGAATTCAAATTCTTCATGGGGTGATTAATCACACATGGGTGCTCACACACTGCACTCCAAAACATCTCCAACTCTTCGGGCCTGGGGAGGATCATCTCCTTCCAAGCATCTTTGTTTTTCCACAAGTTGTTGAAACTCGTTTCTGGAAGAAGAATTGGGAGTTGCACATTGCCCACTTGAGCTCTCCCACCTGTGAGCGGAAGTCTGAGTGGGACCATGAAGCTTGTACACTGGCACAACGGTGCTGGCAACTTCCGCTCAAGGTCCCTTCTGATATTCTGAGGGTTTGCGCCAGCTGTTCCTAGCTGGCTCAAAATTTCCCAACTCCAGATCTTTTGTGAAATCCCTGATGACTCCACATCTTGTTTGGCCGCTTGAGCAACCTTTTGGACCATAGTTGCACTGATGTGCCCCCAAACCCATGATGAGATAAGCAAATCCGCTAAAGCGCTGGTAGCTCTTCTCTGGAAGAACTCATCTTCGAAAGCCTTAGCCCTTGAAGCCGTTCTACCTTTGCTGAAGGCATGCTTGTAGACTTCTTCCATGAACGCTCAAGAGCTCTGAGTTTGCCAAGAGCACTAGTTTGTGGAAATTGCATGTCTGAAAATGTCTGTGAGCTAAGAAAAGAGAGCTGTGAGCTTTCCAAGGCACTAGTTTGTGGGAATTGCATGCCTAAAAATGTCTGTGAGCCAAGAAAATCTCAATCAAAAAACTATCCTTCAAAAAACTCTCAATCTTTCCAAAACCTCAATAAACTCTCCATCAAAAAACTCTCTAGAAACTCTTCAAAAAAAACTCTCAAGACACGCTCCATCAAAACACTTTAAGAAACTATCTGTCAAAACGCGAAAGAAACTCTCCATCAAAAAAACTCTCTAGAAACCCTTCACCAAAAAACTCTCAAGACATGCTCCATCAAAACACTTTAAGAAACTCTCTGTTAAAACACGAAAGAAACTCTCCATCAAAAAGCTCTCAGGAAACTCTTCATCAAAAAGCTCTCAGGAAACTCTCACCAAAAAACGTTCAAGAAACGCTCCATCACAACACTTTAAGAAACTATCTGTTAAAACATTGACGAAACTCTCCATCAAAAGCTATCAAGAAACTCTCCATCAGAAAACTCTCAAGAGACTATCCATCAATAAACGTTCAAGAAACTCTCTCTCAAACATACAACCAAACGCGCAATCTTTGTGCATTTTTCCATCTTGTGAGCAAGTCGGTTGGAGTCCGAGCAGCCAAAGCCTGCCAGCAATGAGTGATTTTCACAAGAACTGGCTTGAACAGGCTCAATGTATTAATGCTTTCGCTAAACAAAAACACGTACGAAACCCAGAAAGAGCCACAGTTTTGTCAGACAGACTACTGACAAGTCAATGAGATTTTTGTAATCAAAGCTGCTGATTTCATGGAAAAGCTTTTGCATTTGGAATCAAAAATCTTAAACCTTTGATAATATTATGACTCTTACAATCAAAGTTTCATTAAACTTTTGACAAAATTTTGATTCAAGAATCAAAGTTTCATCAAACTTTTGACAAAACTTTGCTTTCAAGAATCAAAGTTTCATCAAACTTTTGACAAAACTTTGATTCAAATAATCAAAGTTTCATCAAAACTTTGACAAAACTTTGATTTAAGAATCAAAGTTTCATCAAAACTTTGACAAAACTTTGATTCATAAAATCAAAGTTTTATCCAAACTTTGAGTGTAAAGTCAAAGTTTGCCATTTAAAAATCAAAGTTTTGATAAAACTTTGATATTGAAATCAAAGTTTTGATTTGGAATCAAAGTTTAATCAAAACTTTGATTATTGAAATAAAACTTTGATCCAAACTTTGATTTTAAGATCAAAGTTTTAATGAAACTTTGATTTGAAAAATCAAAGTTTTGTCAAAACTTTGACTAAACTTTGATTCTTAAAATCAAAGTTTGGTCAAAGTTTTGATGAAACTTTGATTCTTAGAAGCATTTTTTGTCAAAAGTTTTATGAAACTTAGACTCTAAAAGTGAAATAGTTATCAAAGGTTTGATGAACCTTTGAGTCGAAACACAAAGGTCTTGCTATTTTTCAACACAAAATCAAATTTGCACAAGCATATTTCATGATTTTGATGAACGTTTGACTTGAAAGTTTAATGTTTCTTAAACATACAAATCATTGAGAAAACAATAAGTTTAAGCTTAAGCGCATCACCGCTCAAACCTTGCCTTCACTGCACCATCAGATCCTCTCTGCGACGTCTTCCAAGTCGTCCAGTGCTTTTTGTAGGCATGTTATACCAGCCTGAAGATTCCTCATAATGGTGTTGACTCGCCGATTGGTTGCCGACCGTGAGCTGGTAGATCGTCTCCTTCGTTTGCGCTTGCGAGAGCGACTTGTTGAAGCACGTCTCCGATGCTGGATCTCATCGTTGTTCAGGGCCTGTGCAAGTGAACAAGTGTTTGGAAACTTGTCAACAAGACCTGTACTCAAACAAAAGGTAATTGTGTCCAGCATAGAGCATTGTCAGGGCCTCATGGGGTGAGCGAGAGGATCGGGGTTCCGTTTCTGGCAAATCTGGTGCATCTGGTGCCACTGTGTCCTTAAAAAAATGTCACAAAGAACTGCACTGTAGCTGTAGTGGATCAATGTTCACCACACAGACACACACACACACTGAGCATCTGGCAGGTAACTCTGAACCAGCAGGCAGCTCTGCGCTGAGAGATTTACCACGCAGTTCGGTATCAGAGTCTGATGGCTCTCCAGGCGTTTTCTTCTTTTTCTTTTTCTTCTTTTCCCCATCATCAGCAAACTCAGGCAATCCTGCTTCCGCAGGTGGTGGGTGATGAAGGGCTGCACTACGAGGAGTTTCAGTGTTTGCTGAAGCACCAGGTCCAGCACCAGGTCCATCACCCGCATCCTGTTTGGAAGTCTGAGCGGAGGTCCTGCAAAACAAACGCAAAAACACTAATGGCTAAAATGCGGAGGTCCTGTCCAATCCAAGTTCTCCCACCAAATCATTGAAGGTGAATATCTATATATATATATATTTGTTTACAACCCAACAGTTTTTTCAATCAATATGCAAGCCCAAGTCCTATTCTGCTCTTTCAACAATGCTTCATCTT